AAAACATAATTGTTTGATGAATGTTTGACTGGACGCTTACACGTTGTAATAGTTGAACCCATCTGTAACTCTGGTCAGTTGTTTTGATTAACTGTCACTTAGACGGGTATGTAACTTTATTGCTTCTACAACTGTCACTGGAGTGTCTAGGAAAGTGTCTGGGGATGTTGCAAAGACCCTCGTTAATTACCTACCAGGTGCAGGAGTTAGGTGAATATAAATATCTTGCACTTGCTGTAAACATATTTTCTGACAGTATTTAAATTTCTGACATGTACTTGTTTCTGATACACATGTATATGTACATGTACAACCCAAAACAATAAATTACGTACATACACTCAGTTCAAACCTACATATAAATTTGAACCATATTTGAATCAAGTAAAAAATGCACAACATAGAACCAGCTTCACCAAATTTAGGATATCTGCACATACCCTACCAATTGAAAAACTTAGATATCAAGGGATACCTCCAGAGGAAAGAAAGTGCCAACTTTGTAACAATGGGGCTATTGGCAATGAAATCCATGCACATTTAGACTGTAATCATACTGGAATAACAAATGCTCGTACTGAATTTCTGAATGTAGTTAGCATTTATAATGAAAGTATCCTTAAACTATCAAAACAACAAATGTTTACAGAAATTTTAAGTTCGAGAGATGGGTTCATTGTCAATAGTGCTAGCAAATTTATTGACAGCATACTATTTTACTATAAGTAATTTTACTTAGACTTTAGTTATTATGTATTTTCTTTTGTCTCGTGTGTGTACTTGTGTTTTATTATATTTAATGTCTTTTGACCACAGATAATGTAACAAAATATATTATTTAGTGTCAAATAAAATATACTATACTATACTATACTATACTATTACTCACATAGAAAGTCTGATACACATGTATATTACTCACATAGAAAGTCTGATACACATGTATATTACTCACATAGAAAGTCTGATACACATGTATATTACTCACATAGAAAGTCTGATACACATGTATATTACTCACATAGAAAGTCTGATACACATGTATATTACTCACATAGAAAGTCTGATACACATGTATATTACTCACATAGAAAGTCTGATACACATGTATATTACTCACATAGAAAGTCTGATACACATGTATATTACTCACATGAAAAGTCTGATACACATGTATATTACTCACATAGAAAGTCTGATACACATGTATATTACTCACTTAGAAAGTCTGATACACATGTACATGTATATTACTCACATGAAAAGTCTGATACACATGTATAATACTCACATAGAAAGTCTGATACACATGTATAATACTCACATAGAAAGTCTGATACACATGTATATTACTCACTTAGAAAGTCTGATACACATGTACATGTATATTACTCACATGAAAAGTCTGATACACATGTATATAACTCACATAGAAAGTCTGATACACATGTATAATACTCACATAGAAAGTCTGATACACATGTATATTACTCACTTAGAAAGTCTGATAGACATGTACATGTATATCACTCACATGAAAAGTCTGATACACATGTATATAACTCACATAGAAAGTCTGATACACATGTATATAACTCACAAAGAAAGTCTGATACACATGTATAATACTCACATAGAAAGTCTGATACACATGTATATAACTCACATAGAAAGTCTGATACACATGTACATTACTCAATTAGAAAGTCTGATACACATGTATATTACTCAATTAGAAAGTCTGATACACATGTATATTACTCACATAGAAAGTTCGATACACATGTATATTACTCACATAGAAAGTCTGATACACATGTATATTACTCAATTAGAAAGTCTGATACACATGTATAATACATAGAAAGTCTGATACACATGTATAATACATAGAAAGTCTGATACACATGTATATAACTCACATAGAAAGTCTGATACACATGTACATTACTCAATTAGAAAGTCTGATACACATGTATATTACTCAATTAGAAAGTCTGATACACATGTATATTACTCACATGGAAAGTCTGATACACATGTATATTACTCACATGGAAAGTTCGATACACATGTATATTACTCACATAGAAAGTCTGATACACATGTACATGTATATTACTCACATGGAAAGTCTGATACACATGTATATAACTCACATAGAAAGTCTGATACACATGTATATTACTCACTTAGAAAGTCTGATACACATGTACATGTATATAACTCACATAGAAAGTCTGATACACATGTATATAACTCACATAGAAAGTCCGATACACATGTATAATACTCACATAGAAAGTCTGATACACATGTATATAACTCACATAGAAAGTCTGATACACATGTATAATACATAGAAAGTCTGATACACATGTATATAACTCACACAGAAAGTCTGATACATATGTATAATACTCACATGAAAAGTCTGATACACATGTATATAACTCAATTAGAAAGTCTGATACACATGTATATTACTCAATTAGAAAGTCTGATACACATGTATATTACTCACATGGAAAGTCTGATACACATGTATATTACTCACATAGAAAGTCTGATACACATGTATATAACTCACATAGAAAGTCTGATACACATGTATAATACTCACATAGAAAGTCTGATACACATATATAATACTCACATGAAAAGTCTGATACACATGTATATAACTCACATAGAAAGTATGATACACATGTATATTACTCAATTAGAAAGTCTGATACACATGTATATTACTCAATTA